TATACTGATTCAACTCTTTCATTTAAGATTGCAAAATTTGATTCATAGAAGCATTCTTCTCCTTCAAAGATTGATTCTCTATCTTTAAATGCTTATTTTCTTCAACAAGAGTCACCAAGTCTGGTGTCATTTGTAGTTTTTTCATGTGTACAACGTTAGAAACAAAGGTTAAAGAGAAAAGTGGAAAAAGTGAGTATTAAATCAAAGTAATAGACTATGCAATATTTGCTAGGAAGGAAAGGGAAATTGATAAAAAAATAAATAAATAAATCTAATGGAAAGGGAGGAACGAAAACAAGAGGTAGTGATTTACCTTGCATCTTTCTCTTTATGCTTTATCTAATTTTCTTTTATTTTCGGTATTTCTTAGAGCAACTTTAAACACAATTGAAGCTTTCGGCGATGAGCATTCTTCTATAGACATATGGTGTACCTCTCCACTACTTACTATTGTAGGTTGATGATAAAGTTTTCCACTAAAATTTGGGACACCAATTTGATTAAATTTATCTTGATCAAGGTGTTGTAGTAGAATTTTTTATGTACCTTGATGTAGGGAAATTAACATTTGAGATAAAAAGCATTTCAATTTTCACTATTAAAAGTTGCAAAAACGTTTAAGATAAAATCTTGAAGGACAATTTATCAGTATTTAAAACTATGAAAGAATAATTTTGTAATGAAAATTAAACTTTATATCCGATGTCCTTACTTGCACAACTCCCATAAATATTTGGTTTTCTGAAGTTATCCACTGATTAACCAATCATTCTTTTTTTTTTTTCCTAAAAAAAAGAAAACTGCTGAGATATAAACGGAGATTTATGAAGCATTGAGCAACAAAAAATTGTTGATTAAAATCAAGAGTCAAAAGGGAGTGGAAGCTGATTGAACAACGACAACTTGGTATTTTATGATCGACCAATTGTAAAATGATAGCGCGACTAGCCCCGTAAATGGGGACCAATTGTTAAATGATGTTAGGACATGCAACTTGGCGTTTTATTTTTAACTTACACACATCAACCTGACTAGATTGAAGGTATCTTTTCTATCACTTGGGTGGAATGGACGAGCAAAACTACTAATGAGTACTTCTTTTAAAGGCATTTTTAACCTTTTAGCTTAATAAGATGAATTAGATAATATCACCACGTTAATAAATAAATTTTTTTTAAATATTAATTTTTTATATATTTATTTTAAGAATTAATATTTACTCATTAATAAAATGATATTATCTGATTTATCAAGAATGTATAGAGTTTATACACTAATAGTGCATCATAAACTCCTTTCTTAATTGACTTTTTTATTTTTTAATATACATTAAGAGGTATATGTCATTCCTATTAACTCTACTTGTAGAGTTTTAAAATTTTATTTACTCTAGACTAGAGAATTTCTCATAAAGTAAATTAGGTTTTTAAAATTTTTAAAATCAAAATCTTCAAAATATTTTAATTCTGAATAATATTATAAAAAAGTTATTGTTAGAATAATTAGTTTAGTTTAGCTACAAAGTTAACAAAAGCATTAAATTTAAAACAAAAAGAATAATATATTTATTTTATAATTTTATGTATATTTATTGAATTATTTATTTTAAGATATACTAACTTATAATACTAACTCATTTGTTGATATAATATGTTAAATATAAACATATATTAATTGAATTATCTATCTTATAATATTGAAAGAACTGATTTTGTTATAGCATTGAAAACTAGAATTTTAAATATTAGAAGGTAAAAAATGTTAAAGTTGATATAAAAAATTGTGACATAGTTCTAAAATAAAATTTGTTTTTTCATCTGTCATTAATGAAAATTTTGAACTCATTAAGCAAGGCTCAAAGACCGTCACATGTATTTTTTATAATATTAATTATGTTTTTTTTAATATAACATACAGAACTACATAGCAATTTTTTTAACTCCACTAATGAAATTTAAAATTTTCACTAATAGTACATGAAATAACTTTTCTTACAATTATTAAAATAACCTCCTTTCAAATTTGGTAAAAGGGTAGCACATAGAAACTTAAAAGCTTACTTATTGTATAAAAAAATATTAAAAGTTATTATAAAAAAAAAAATTGTAGGATTTTTCTCATTCAAAATGGACATATTATGGACACTAATAGAAAAAGACAGGCAGGCTATTAATTAAATTAAAAGTAGAATTGAAACCCTTTTCAAAAAAGTAGAATTGAAAAAGTCACTACGCATAATATCGGATTCATAATTGCTTTCTTTTTCATTGTTAATGTTATTATGTGATATTCTAATGTTGAATTTGGATGCTCAGGAAGGAAAGAGGAGAGGAAAAAGAAAGATGAGTATGAGAGAAGGGCAAAGAGAAGTGCAACAAAAATTTTAAGAAATTGATTCCAAAATCTCCATGATGCCACAACAAGGAAACTCAGTAGGACGCCCAGCTTTGTTATTTAAATATCAGTGAAATATTGAATAGGAAATAGCACATTTTGGTCTATGGTTGTAATCAAGTATTGTTTAGTTTACGTGAAGTACTGTTAGTTATCTTGGATATGTGAAATTAATGTATCAGTCTCCTTCTATGATTAATAACTTTTCTTCAAATAACTCAAATTTGATGACATATACTTGGATTTGCTTTGTCGCGATGAAGTTATACATATCCGAAAAATTAGTTAAAATTCAACACAATTCTATATTTTAGAGACAATAGAGATATGATTACGTATTGCCTAAATCATTAAGGTATTTTAAATATAGCGATTAATATAGATCTAACAAATAATTAAGAAATTTTGTGAATCATGTTCTATTTCTGTGTGAAGTACTCACAAAAAGTAATCTTGAAAGCACTAGACTAGAGTGAAGATAGTGCACCCTTAAAATTGTCCAACATTATATTGATTTGGTTATTTGATCAGTTTGTTTATCAATATGTTTCATAAATGTTTTTTTTTTTTTTTTTATAAGGGACTACAATTTGAGTATAGTGAAAACAGTTACTGACATTAAAATATGAATCCAATTTAATGTATGCTATTTTTTTAAGGTGATTGTATAAATTAATTAAATTAAGTTTTGATTTTCATAAATATACTATTTAATATATCTTGAAAGTTATTTAATTATAATTATAATAATTTTTCAAATTATATATAATTTGATTTTTTTTTCAAATTCAAGTTCTACTATAATAATTTGATTTTTTTTTTCAAATTCAAGTTCTAAAGTCATGCCTATATTAACAGATAATTTTAACCATTCACCACTAAACTGAAATAGTAGATTTGAACCATTTTATCGTCGGAAAAAAAAGTGACGATTAGGAAGAGTTTAAAGAGATGGATGGACTTGGTGGAGATCCCATAAAACTATCTATAGAAGAGCAAATTAAAGAGATTTGTTTACTATTTCTCATCTGCCTTTTTTTATTTAATTTTATATTACTTTTGGAATAAGAATTTGATTTTTATGTTTTTGAATATTCTAACATAATACTTTGCAGAGTTAGGTTCATGTTTTAAATAATAATAATTGAGGATGTGAGAAACAGCGGTTTAGCCAAAATGAGAAAAGCAGGTGACTTTCATTAACGTGGCCCAATTACGTTGATGAGGCACCAACACCAAGCAAAGCACAATTCCGTTCAAAGAAACCACAATGACTTTTGTTCATGTTAATGAAATTAAATATTTAATAATCATCCTTATCCGAAGTAGATGGGCCCTTTTTGCCTCATCACAACACTATGAACATTAAAGTAGATGGCGGTGCAGTTTTAATAAAATAAAAAATTTGTGACTCGCAATATTCGTTTCCAAATAAATAGATGTGCCATTCAAAATTGATCATTTATCGATTGTTATTCGGTTAGTGAAATTTTTCTACTTTTAATTTTTAAGTTTTATTATTATTTCAAAACATTTTATAGTTTTTTTATTTAAAAATTATAAATTAAGTTTGTTAATTTAATATATATATTTTATTATTTAATATATTAATAAATATATTTGCTATATTTTATTATTTATTAATAATTTTTATATAATGAATAAATTTTATAAATATTATATAATTTAAATTTTTTATTATGTATAACTTTTAATCTAATATCTTTAATAATTATTTTTTTTCATTATAATTCACGTCACCATTATTATTCTTTTTTATCCAAATAATTAATTTTATCTCTACTATTATTATTTTTTATTTTATCAAAATTAATCTCAATATCGTCGGGATTATCCTTAGAGATGACTTTATAATGGACGAGAGTCAATCGCACGAGACTCTCCGTTAGCCGGCCACAGTCGCGCGATTTCCAGCTACAACAGAAGGAAGTGAAATTAGAAAAGCTAACAGAATCCACTGCACCCGCACTAAAATGTCAAAGGCCTTCATCATCTAGGCTTTCTTTATTTTATATAGGTACAAAACAAATCTTATTTAATTTCAAAAATTATAAATTTAAAACAATTTTATATTGTAAAAACTAATTAAATTTTACACATATATAATTTTATGTACAATTAATATTTTAAAAAATTATCAATAATTAGGTTTAATAATTTTTTTATATTTATTACATATAAAATTTCAAATTAATCCAATATTCATATTATATATATATATATTAAATAAAGGAAATTTTATTGCTATCAACTAAAACAATTAAATATTTTAAATTACATAAAATTTAACAATATGTGCATGAATATCACATAAATAAAACATAAAATTTATGTATTATTGGATTAAAAAAATAAAAATCGCACAACAAAATGTAAAATTAAAAAAAATTTATACGGACATTTCATTTTGTAATTTTATTCTCGTATTATAAATCATCATTTCTTGATGATTCATGCGCACCTTATCTTTCTAAAAATATGGTTTCATTCTGTTGGTCAAACTAAAAAATATTGAAAAAGAAAAAGAAAAAAACCGTTATAAATTAAAGTTGGTAGCATACAAGTTGTCCGAACTTTCGAACTCTCCATCTTTCACCCTTCTCTTCAGTCCTCACAGCCGCCGGCGTCGCGTAAACAGCAGCAAATTTTTAAGGTTATTTCTTATCTGTATGAGTTGATTAGATTGTTTCCAATTACTTGCATGTTTCACTCTTATTTTCTTTCTTTTAATTTTTTTCATATGTATTTCTTTTATAATCCAAAAAATGCCATCGACGTTATCAGCAAGCAATTTAACTTATAATACTAATTTTTCTTGTTTGGAATCTTTCAAGAAAATAATACTTTTTTTTTCTCTTTAAATTTCGACTAGCAGAGATGGAGAAAACAATGAAGAATTTCATGGGTGAAAGAAAAGAAACTGGACCCGAAGTTTCCCAAAAGGAACACCGCAGGTCAAGGAAACCCAAGTTTGAGGTATAGTTTCAATAAATTTATTGGAAAATTCTTGGCCTTTTCAAGCTCTGAATATGTACTGCTTTTGTTCTTCGCTTTGTTTCGTTTTTTGTTTTCATTTCTGTTTAGGTTGGCAAACCAAAGCAAGCTAATGATAAGAAGAAAAAGGATAAGAAAAAGAAGCAGAAACTGAGTACCCACATCGCCAAACTGGGACTGGAAGTGTTTCCGTTGATATTTGCTGAAATTAGGGAAAGTAATCGCCAGTTGAGAGAGCTGAACTCTGTGATCAAAGCTTACATTCTTGATAAGCTTGCTGCTTGGGATGCTGAAGATAAAGGCTTTTGACCGTTTGATAAATCTGAATGGTTTAGCCCTAAACTTTAACATTTCACAATGTTTTTGTTATCTGAAATATTATCTGATGGAATTCAATTTTTCTAGGGATCTTATTTATGAAGCAGCTTCAATTGAATAAGAGAAGACAAGACAAACAGCTTTGACAGCTTAGGGTTTCTATATTCGTGTGTTTTATATATCTGCCTATCAAGAACTGAATTGGTGTGTTTCGGGTTTGAAAGACAATTTTCTTTGGGGGGTTTTTTTTTTCTTTTATCTGAATAACTTAATCTGTTCCACTTTGTGCTATGATCATTTAATCGTAACTTCTGATTCTGGTGATTCATCCTTGCTACTTGTTTCAGTGCTATTCATTCTTTTTATTGTTAATTTGGATGAGGTTTCTCTAAATACAAGAAATTATTTTGAAAACACTTGTATAACTGTTGATTGATTAACAATTTCAACATGTCATTTCCTATGATCTTCGTCATACCACCATTTAGCAAGAAATTATTGCAGAAGAAAATGCTTTCACCATTTCAAAATTTTACGGTACTTTAATTCTACAAGTTCTCTTATTCTCAATATTTTGCATTAATTCATTTACCTGATCAATATTATTTAGCTTTTTCTACCAATTAAAACTTCAAAATTGTTAAAGTTTTACAGGCCTTGTAGCCTTACATACTTCTACATAAGGTTTTGGTAAATATTTAGATAAAATAGAGAAAATTTACTCATGTGCAATGTATGTTATCTACATGCATCAGATGCACCCAAACCACTTTAGTAATTTTACAGTATTAATGTAAGAAGTATCACACAACTTATTCTTACAAATAATGGTACGTGAAAAGGACAGTGATGCATGTACTCATTTCACAAGCTCACTTTTTATTTTAGAGAATTAGCTGAAAAGCACTAAAACTTTTATAAACCATAACAGGAATCCGAAAACTTTCTTTTTGTTGAAAAAAAAAGAAGAAAAACCTTTTATATATTATATTAGTGTACCAAACGAGTGTATATAGTCTTATCCACGTGAAAAACTTGATGTCAAGCATTAATTTCCTAAAAAATCTCCTAGCAGACAATTGGGTTCTAAAGAACTTTAGGAGTACATGCATAATATTTCTTTTTTTTTATTATTTTGAAAATGGAATTTCTAACTCAACTTCGTTGAAACAAATATTCAGGTATTTTGTAGGAAAATTTATTTTTATCTAGCGACTAGAACAAAAGTTTTGTTATGCAGCTAGAACAACAGATCCATTATCAAGTATTCTTATCTTTTTTCCATAAAAAAAGTATTATTATCCTTTTAGTCTACAGTGCCTTAGCTTCCTTTGTTATCATTCCCAAGAACCTCGTTCCATTCATAATAATCTCGATGAGGGATTTATTTAGTATAGAAAGCAATAGACACTTAGACCCAAATCTAGAAAGTGACGCTTTTTCAGTTTTGAAAATTTCAGACAATATCTGTCTTTTTATCGGATTATTTAAAAAAGAAAAAATCCTTCTCTAATGAAAAATTTTATGCTATTGTTGCTACCTACAAATTGACCTCTAATTTGCCACTAAACTCGCATCACGCTTGGCAAAGCTTAAAGGATGGAAGCAGAAAACTTTGTCAATGGGAGGGAATGAGGTTTTAATAAAAGCTGTTGCATGTGCGATCCCTACTTAATGTCCTATTACAAATTTCCATTAAAGACATGTGAGGAGTTGAACTCTATGATGGCAAAGTTCTGGTGGGGGAAGGGGGTTATGACAATAAAATACATTGAAAAAGTTGGGATAGGCTTACAAAACCAAAAGTGGATGGTGGTATGGGGTTCAAGGATTTGGAAATAGTCAACTAAGCATTGTTAGCAAAACAAAGCTAGACAATGTTGCAAAACCTAAATGCAATACGGGCAAGGATCTTCAAAGGGATCTACTTCCCTCAAAATCCAATTCTACAGGCTACAAAAGGAGCAAGAGCATCATGGACTTGAAGTAGCATGCTTGAAGGCAGATATTTTCTTAAGGAAAATCTAATGTGGCAAGTAGGGAATGGGCAGAATATTGAGATATGGAGAGATTATTGGATTCCTGGATTGAAATGAAAGAAGCTACAACTTTCAAAATCGGGGGATGGAATAGCGCCAGTGAAAGTGGGGAAATTGATAAACTACAAAAGAAAGGAATGGAGCTTAGAAAGTATTAAGCCATGGATAAATAGGGAGGAGAAAGAGGCAATCAAGGAAGTTCTTATAAGGGGCCAAATTTGTAAAGATGAATTGGTATGGGCAAAGGGGGATAAAGGAGAGTATACAATAAGACCAGGGTATAGAATACTGAAAAAGGCAACCAATCTCAAACAAGGAACAAGACCCTCAAGCTCACATGTGGTTGATGAGAAGGTCTGGAAAGAGGTATGGAGACTGACAATTCCTAATAAAATCGAAGTTTTTATGTGGTAAGTCTGTATGGATGCAATTCCAACAAACTATAATCTTTTTCTTTTAGTTTTGCTCACCTAGTATTTTTATTAATTTGGTTTAAGAAGTACAATTCACTGCTCCCACCCCTCACAGGGATCTCGCTATTGGACTGTTATATCGCCTATTATCTCCTGCTTACAATAAGTATATCTAATTAGTATTACAGCCAAGCCAAAAATAACTCTAATGATTCAACACCCCAACAAATCCATTAGCCTCTTTATAGACATGCACAAAGTCCACTTTTCCAACTTTTTCTTTAAACGTATCAATCTCTTCCATTTTTTTGCACTGCGTCCAAGACCTTGCTTTCTTATTCAGCACTGAGTTGATCGCCATTTTGGAATCTGTCTCTATGACTAGCACAGGTTCATTATGCCACGGAGAATCTAAAAGCACTTGTAGTGCTCTTTTAATTGCCAATAACTACATCCACATTGGGTCTTATATCCTTAAAGGGCCATAAAACATACCTCTTTTATTACTAGATGCGTCACTAAGCACCTTACCACAACCCGCAAGATCTAGATTGCCCTTAGTAGCTCCATCAACGTTAAACTTCAAAACATTACCTCTTGGGCATTCCCAATGAACTCCTTCTTTGCCTTTTGATTGTCTTTCCCCAGTTTATTGAACGGTGGGTTTCACCCACCACTTCGTTTCTTCTATTTCTCCCTCTTCTCACATAGCTTTAATCCAAAACAAAGTCCTTAGTTTCACCAAAAACAAAATCTTTTTTTTAAAAAATAGTTTCATTTCTTGCCAGGCAAATTTACCAAGCCGTTGCTCCACATACTGCTAGGCATCTTTTTCTAGTAGTACCCCCAAAGGGGGGACATGCACATTGATTTAGCATATCCTCTATATCCCCTGCTATCACGCAACCCAAACCCGATCACCTAAAGACAGAACCCCATACAGCCCAAGAGAATTGACACAAAAATAATATATAAGCGCAATCCTCCATAAATAACCCACATCACTGATTTAAACACTAATCCTCACCTAAGTTCACCCCTCTAGTTCTAAGAAAACATTTAGATGGAATAAAGTTCTGTATGGCACGCTAGAGAAAGTTCTGTACCTTCGGTGGGACTTTGAGCTTCCAAATAGCAATGAACCGCACCTGTTGATTACATGATTTTGTTAGCAGACAAGTTTTGACTCAAATTGTTTCACCGAGAACTTCTCTGTTCGGTCTGCCTCCCACACCATCCTATCCCTATGCCAGGTCTAAAGACAACTCCCTTTACCGTTTCCAGTAGACTTTCCCATAACTCCTTTTCCCATACGAACAGTGGCCTTCTCCAAAGAACACTCCACTCTCCTGTCTCCATGTCCACAACATCCCTTATCCAACTTTCTTTTTCCACAGCTAGTGGAAACAGCTTAGGAAGTCCATCTTTCAGTGGTTTATACCCAGTCCACTTGTCTAACCAAAATAATACATTAGTTCCATCACCCACAATCCATCTACATCCTCCAACTCCTATCAAATTTTTTACGCCTTCCTCCTTCCTTATATTAATGATATTCTACCATACCGTCGGCGCTTTATTACCAGGTTTTCATTTGGTCCCCATTATGGAAGCCCTCTGCCATATTTCTCCTCTATTAGCCTCCTTCATAATTTTTCTCTTTCTATTCCATATCTCCACTACCAGTTTCCCAATAATGCTAAATTCCTGTTAACTATATTTGATATCCCTAATCCTTCGAATATTCTTAGTTAGCATACTGTCATCCCTCTTACCTTCGCCATCCTCCAATTATCTTCCCCTCCTTCCCATAAGAACAATCTTTTCAACTTATCCAACTTTCTTATTACTCCTTTTGGTGCCTTGAAGATGGATAAATAATAAATTGGTAAAGAATTTAGAACCAACTTTATCAACGTAACTCTTCCTGCAAAAGATAGATTCTTTCTCTGCCAAAATACCAACGTTGCTTTAACTTTTTCTATCAGAGGTTCCCATGTCATCATATTCTTTGGATTAGGCCCCAAAAGAATTCCTAGGTATTGGAACTGTATAGTGTTTCTACCACACTGCAATATGTTCGCAACTTCCTGAGCACCCGAATCCTTCACCCAACCGGATACATAATTGTTCTAGCATAATTAACTCGCAATCCCGTCAGCAACTCGAAGCTTCCCAATATTCTCTTAGTATTCCGTCCATAGTTTTCCTCTACTTCCATGAATATGATAATATCATCTGCAAACTGGAGATGTGAAATACTTAAACCAGATTCTGCAATTCTAATGCCCTTAAACAACCTCTACTCCTCTGCTCTCTCTAACAGTTTGTGTAAGACTTCCACTACCAATAAGAACAAGAACGGAGATAATGGATCCCCCTACCTCAACCCTCTTATAATAGGGAACTCAGCTATTGGTGTGCGTATTAACCAATACCGAGATTCTCACTATAGAAATGCACTCCTTAATCCACCTTCTCCATTTCGAACCGAACCCCATCATTTCCATTGTCATCAATAAAAAATTCCAGTCAAGGCAATCATATGCCTCCTCAAAGTCTAGTTTCAATAAAATTCTCCCCTATTCCACCGCTTTTGCATCATACTATGAATCAATTCATTTGCTAATAAAATTGCATCCATCATTTGTCTTCCACCAATGAATGCACTCTATGTATCAGTTACCACCCTTTCTATTAACTTCTTTAGTCTATTGGATAAAATTTTTAGTAGAATTTTATAAAGTGAATTGACTAGACTTATTGGTCTATACTCCTTCAAAGAAAATGGGCAAGCTACTTCAGGGATTAACATAATGAACAACGAGTTCAACCTTTTATGTATCTTACCTTGACGGTACAAATTTGTTAAGAACTCCATTAGCTCTTCTCTTAGTATCCTCCATGACTTCTTGAAAAGTTCATATTATATCCATCCGATCCCAATGCTTTCGAGCCATCACACTTCTCCACTGCCCGCTTTAATTCTTCGATAATGAACGGGGCCTCAAACTACCTTGCTACATCGAATTCTAGTTTGCATAATTCTAACCTTCCACCATAGACCTCCCCCATTCGTCCTGCTCAAAAGTCTTCTTAAAGTAATCCACCACCACTGCCTTCATCATTCCTGCATCCGGTATCCAATGCTCGTTTATTAGCAGTCCTCATATATGATTCTTTGCTACCTTCACCTTGGCTTTGCTGATGAAAAAATAGGTATTCTTATTTCCTTCCTGGATCCATTTTACTCTAGACTTCAGCCTCCAAATTGATTCTTTATCTTGATGTGCCTCCTATAATAACTGAATGATCTCCTTCTTGGATTTTATCTCACCCTCAGTTAACTCTCTGTCATTCCCTACCTTGTCAATATCTTTTAGTCTTTCTTCCAAAGTAGCTATTTTCTTCTTTACTATCCTAAACTCCTCTCTATTCCATCCTTTGAGAAAAGCCTTTTAATTTATCCAACTTCACCCTCATTCTAAATCCCGGTGTCCCCTCAAATCTATATGACCTCCACTTGTTAGCAATAACCTTCTCGAAACCCTTATTGTTCCACCAACAATCCAGAAATTTAAATAGCCTTGGACCCCAAACCACCTTTTCAGAAGACAGCAGCACAGGATAATGGTCCGATATTGACCTCTTCAACCCTCTTTGACATTGCTCCTCGAACTTCAACAACCATTCAGAAGACAATAGAAACCCATGTAACCTACTTCTCTTAGACCCTGATCTGTACCATGTAAACTTATTCCCATTTAGAGGTAGATCAATAAGCTCCCCTTCATTGATGAAGTCATTGAAATATTCTATGCCAGATCGCTTTACTACACAATTTCCCATTTCCTATGAGTTTCTACTGTGATCAGATCTCCAGCAACACACCAACTTCCCACGTCTCATTTTTCAACTCCATTAACTCATACACAATTTCCCCTTTCCTTTGAGTTTCTAACCATGTTCAAATCTCCAGCAACATACCAACTTCCCCCATCTCATTTTTCAACTCCGTTAACTCATCCCACAGAAGTTTCTTCTCTCCCTGATTATTGGGCGCATACACATTTGCTACAACATGGTCGAACTTGTGAAGAACCCAACTTCCTTTAACCAAAATAAAATTCTTCTTCACAGGAACTAACTCTTCCTTGAAATACTGTTTATCCCACATTATCAACAAACGCCCTTATTTTCCATTCTGTCTCACCGCCAAACCAAACTACATTGTCATTAGGCCAAATTTTCCCAACTTCCCCATTTTCGCAGCTGACCAACTTTGTCTCCTGTAACATAATCATCTACATTTGTTTCCTTAATAATTTTCCTAACAGTGTGCATTTCAAATTACCACCCAGACTTTGTATTTTCCACGTTACTATTCTCATTTTCTAGTCTAAATTTCGCCCCTATAGCCTATTACCCTATCATTCAATATTACTAAACAAACTATAATCTATGGAAACGAAAATGTAAAATGCCCCTTATATGCAATCTGTGTGGGATAGAAGAAGAAAGTGTAGAACATATACTGCTACAGTGTGACTGGACAAGGGGAATGTGGCTTAAGGTATGCCATGGTCTAAAAATCCGAAAAGAAAAAGTTATATCTTTTGATAGATGGTCGGTGTAGGTGTTAGAACAGCTAAAACGATGGTATAAAGACAGCATATAAGGACATGTGTGGCATAAACTTGCTGGATGATTTGGAAAACAAGGTGCGAAGTAGTGGCGAGGGGTATAGAGCTGGTACCACCTGTAGCGATACTAAAAGCCAAGAAGGCCATTGCAGATTTCTACAAGGTACAGGAGAAGCAATCTAAGTTAGCAAGGACAATGGGGGTAAACATAATAAGAAGGGAGGATCAGTGGTCATGCTCAAAAAGAAGGTGGTTAAAGATGAACTGTGATGGAACATTTATAGAAAGTAATAGAAGAGCAGGGATTGGAATAGTGATTAGGGATGAAAGTGGAAATATGGTTGATGGGATTGGAAAGCAGGTAAAGGTAGGCTCAGCTTTAGCAGCAAAGGCATTGGCAGTAAGAATAGTACTGGAATTAGTAGCTGCTAGAAAATTTAAAACGGTAATAATGGAAATGGAGTATAAAGTTTTGTATAGTCATTTTCAAAGGACAAATGAAAATTATAATTGGAGAATAAGACCAATTTTGAGGGAGATAATGAAATTATGGTGGGAGCTACCAGAAAAGCAATTGAAGTTGGTGAAGAGACAAGCTAATAAAGCTACGGACTCGGTGGCAACATAGTCTAAAGTGGGGATTTGAAGTTTGGGTTGGCTCAGGCAACCCCTATCCTCTTTGGTTGGAATCTTAAGTAGGGACAGTTTAACAACACCGCACTAAAGAAGTAGAGAATAAGGATAGCCGTAGATTGAGTTTCTGTTTCAAGGTCTCATAATCTCAATTATCAAGAGCACAATGTAAAACAAACAATGCAATGTTTACCGGAAAAGAATTCTTTTCTTTGGCCAAAAAACAAAATTGCACCACCCTTCCTTAACAGATTAACAGACATTGAAAAATTGCACACGTATTCTTCCTTTATCTCTTCCATACATTCAACCAAGTAAATTATTATTATTATTATTATTATTATCATTATTATTTAAAATTTTTAATCTATCTTTAAATCTTTTATTCTTATATTTAATTGACTAAAGAGAACATTATTTCTTGTCCATTTTAAGTGTGTTGGGACAATGTCTTTAAAAACACCGTCCAACCCTAGCCTAAAAAATCTTCTATCTCATTCACTACAAGAAGATATGGCCTCCGATTCTTAATGAATCAGGATTTGACAACACTTTATGAAAGGGATTTCATTATTTTGTAATGTTTAAAATGCTATTATATTTAGAATTTTATTTTATTTAATCTTTTTAGCATAACAAAATCTTGAGAAACAACACAAATTGAACAAGCTAACTAGCACCAACGCTGCGACACATCATCACACAAGTAGCCTACAAACCCTAAAGATTTGGACAAAATAAAATTTTAACCAACAACAATATCTACAGACTACAGTATTATTAATGAAGCCTCACCAAGAAATGGAAGGGTGTTAAAATTTTTAAAATTATTTTTATATTAATATTTTAATATATTAAAATTAAAAATATATATTTTATTAATTAATATTTCGAGCCAAACAAGTTAAGACTTAAAAAATCATATCAAGGTCCAACTTGAATACACCAAGACTATGAATAAGTTTAATTTGATGTGACTGTTTATGGTCATATTTAGTGACATGAAATGATGTGCATTGATGATAATATTGAATTGATCATTGAAAGGCAAGATGGTTATTTGGTTGTTGTTTGGGATGAAAATTTTCTGAATGAAAGAGTTATGTTTTGTGTTATTTCCAGATACATGAGTGCATGGGCGGATGGTCATTAGGGCCAGAGGGGGCCTTGGCCCCCAAAAAATTTTAGAAACTCTTAAGGTATACATGTATAAGTTTAAAATAATTCTTCAAAATGAAATGATTAATTTTTATAGTTTTATATTTAATTATGCACATTAATTTTAGAGGGATTAAAATCATATTACTATTTATCTATTTATTGTATCCACCAATAGTTACTTATAAACCTTTAAACCTTTAAAATCAAAAGGTCTATTATACGTTTTAAATTATAATCATGTGAAATTAATAAAAGTCAAATTAACTTTTTAGTTTTTTAAACAAGACCCCAAATCTCCAATTAAATACTAAACATACATATGTTTTTCCTTATCTTTTTTTAGCTTACAATAATTTTTTCTTTTTGTATAATATTTTCACTTGTAATTTTACTCTAGATCTCTATCTCATCTTATAATCTTTAAAAAAAAAAAAAAATTGGAATCATTCAACGTTTTTATAACCCAGTGACCCCCCTTTCATATTCGATGTGAGATTAGAATACCTTACCTACTCTTCCTTGACAGGCTTGGTATGACATTTTCCTCCATCCAACCTCATAACACCCTCATCACAGAGGCTAACTACTCTGCCTACCCTCCTTCAAGGCACTTGGCGTTGGTCGAACGATCTAAGGCCTACTCTGATACCACTTGTTAGATGCCCATTACCCTCTCCCCTCAAAACTAGCTTATTAAGATGAGCAGTACCAACGTTTTTATATCCTAGTGACCCTCTTTCATGTTCGATGTGAGATTGAAATACCCTACCTACTCTCTTTTGGAGCGCTTGGCATAAAAAAAATTACAACTTCGAATATCAAAATCAATGTTATTATTTCAAAAATATATTTACTTTCTTGCTTCCATAAAAAAATATATTTCTTAACTATTAATTTGTTTATACTTTTTTATTTCAATTTTAAATTACCAAAAGAACAAAAAAAATTTAAGAAAATTTGAGTAATTAAAAGTCCTGTTTTTTTTTTTAAAAGTTTAATGTTGTCATAATAATATTTTTATAATTTTATGAACATATTATTTCTATTAGTATATTTTGTATATAATATATATATATATAAATATTTGAGGAGGAATTTTTTTTATATCAATGCAAAACAATTTGTTTTACACTCTTTTTATTATATAAAATTTCACATCAATATGATATCTTATAATTTTGATTTTTATATATGATAGAATTCATAAAATATATCTTATTAAAAAAATATATAATATTAATTGCTTTTTCCAAAATTAATTGTTAATATCCATCACTAATTATATATAAACTTATTGATATATAAATATATTCCCATACATTGCACATGTATCACATAGATTTAAAACTAGTTATGGCTTAAAATTGATGGTTTTACTTGTGCAAATTGTTTGTGTACTTAAAATTAGGGTGAATGAGCTATCACTTAAACTAGTTCATTCATTACACTTCTTGTTGGGGTGATAACTTTCCTTTTTGTGCATGCATAATAATCTAATTGTTATATTCCTACTAATATTCCAAATTAACTGATATCATAAAAAAGATACAATATTAATTGGTCCCTTCAAAGTTAAATATCAAGATCTGTCACTACATGGGTGCTTCCTTTTTTTCCTTTTTTTTTGGCTGTTTAATAGTAATTGTGTTTTTGCTCGTTGGAATATAATATGAAAAAATAACCGATTTGTATTTGATTAGTCCAAAGACTAACTGCTTGGGAAGTTGGTGTAAATCAGGGGCCTTCATTCTATATGTAGAGTAACTGTTTTGGCTATATTCTATCTTTTTATATGTTTGGCTATTTGTGGTCACGACTAAAAAGTGGTCTGAATAGAGAAGACTTCTATGGTGGTTTAGCTTTTGCGTTCCAATTATTGGACATGTTCATCCAAACGTTCATGGTTGTGTTTTGACTCTGTGATTTTGAATACTAGGTGTTGATCTTTTATTCATTGTACATGGTTTTACATTTTCAGCTTTAGGTAGCCTTATTGATCAGAGGTGTCCATGGATTGTCTTATTTTAGGCAACTCAGCCCAGCTTGATTGGAAAGTCTTTGCTTGTGAATTTCAAGGCTTATACCTAGTTTGAAAATATTATTATAAAAATTCCTTTTATTATTAAATTAATATAAATGTATTAATCAAATTAAAATTGAGATTGAGCTTAATTGGGCCAGCCACTTGAGCATGTCTATCTATACCCTCTCAAATACATAATAAGTCAGCATTGAATTTTTACGTAGCTTTTAGATAAGTTAAAACATTTAAAACTTATTAAATTATTTTACTTATTTTAAATAAATTTTTATAGTTTTATTTTATTCAAATAAATTTTTATACTTTATTTTCAAAAAAGTTTTTATTTAAATAAAAATAAATTATATTAAGAGTTTATTTAGCTACAAATTAAATGTTTAACAATTTATTTAGATGTAAATTAAAATTTCAAAACTTATTTGAATATTATAAAAGTATAAAAATTTATTTAAAATTATAAAAACTTATTTAAGTAAATTTATAAAATTTAAAATTTTTTTATTATTTTAGCCTTTTAGATATTGTTAACTTTATTTCTACATACAATTTTATATACCAAACAAATCCATATATATTGTTTACTTCATCTCTACAATTTTATATCACGACAAATTCAAATTCAAGGTATATGTTGAAAATGAGAACAAAATTCTTTTTCCTTTTCTACTACTATTTTCTCTCATTTGGGCAAAAAATTAAGTAAATCCTTCACTACCCTTTCCTCTAGACGTAGTAATAGAAAACATTATCAATTTCCAAATTTAAAAAAAAAAAAAAACTACACAGCCCATTTTTATGAGGAAACTTTTAATATCAAAGGAAAAAAACAAAAAAAAAGTAAAGTAAAGATTTGGTTTTTCATACTTACAGTAGTCATGCACCTTCATCAAGCTATTTGGCCACTGTTGTTCATGTCCTCTTCTCGGCTCCGTACTTCTTCCACAGAAATCTGGTTGCTTTGATGAAAAAAAGCTCAATTTGAGTGTGGTTCAATATACTGCTAATTATCGACGCTTTGACCAACTTGTACTGAAATATTTCAAGTCAATGGAAGACTTAAACAAAGACCATACGATGATTGCGCAAATCTCAATGTTGGCTATCAACTTGGTACTAAAAGGAATTAAATTTTCTTTTAAATAATCGATCATGCAACTTGAAGATAAGACAAACAGTACAATCATTTTGTTTTTCATTTCGGAACGTGCAACAATGCACTCAAGGACAGGGGGTGAGGGATTCCGCTCTTATCCTTTCTTAGTACAAATACATATGTATTCCTCTGTCCTTAGTTTTATTCATTTTTTTTAAATGTCTCAAACTTTTTTTTAATATTTAAATTTTTTATTTTTTTATATTTTAAAATTATATTTTAAATTTTTAACATTAAAAATCATAAAATTTTAATTTTATAAAAAATTTAATTTTAATATTAAATATATAAAAATAAATTTTTTTATTAAACTTGTCAAAATTAAACATTTTTAAATAAAAAGAAAAATAATTTACATAATAATATTTCTTCTCAATGTATGTGTAATTTTTTTAATTAAAATCTTAATAAATATTATATTTATATAATTAATCAAATAATTAATTAATAAATTAATTTTTAATTAATAATCAAATTCACATATAATAAAATTTGAATAACTAAATTAAAGTCTCGGTAATATATGTGTATTTAAAAAAAAAATTTTGTTAACAGTGTACTTAAGTTTATTATATATAAAGTATTATTGCATTCAATAAAAAACTACTAATATAAACACATAGTGCATTTTTTATGCAAT